AATTTATATATATATATATATATATATTAAATAGTATTTTTTTAAAATCTAATTGACTACAAGACTGCAAAGATTTATAATCAATTAAAATATTGATTAAAAAAATAGAATAAAAATTATTAAATTAGATTCAAATAATGCTTTAATAGAAATAATAATTTTTAAATCTTGCTCAAACCCTTATTGTCTTATGTCTTATGGTTATATGATTAAGGTTATTAAAAGGACTCTTTATTCGTGAACAGCTCACACGAACACAATTTTTCAGCTCGAAATATAAACGAGCCGAACACTTTTTTGTTGGGCCAAATAATGACAACAACAACAATAATGATAATGGTGAAGTGTTGATAATGGTGACATGATGATGATGATGATGATATATGAACAGAATGAGATGAATAAAAATAAAACACATTACAGTTCAAATAAATACTAAATTTTAATTTCACAAGCAATAAGTAAGAAAACAAAACAAATAAATAAAACTGAAACCCATTGATGAAACCATTAACTCAACTTAAATTCTACAAAAATGGTGCAGCTACCAAAATTTAAGCCCTGGGACCAAGTGCACCCCATGTAAATAATGCTCAAAATTAGCAATGACAAACTGTGTAAATCTTTCCAGATCTTCTCATTATATGCACAGGCTCACCAACCAATAAGAATCATGAAACTAATTTGCACATGACAATGGTCAACGTCATGATATGGCTACAAAAGCACTAATTTAAATAAAGAGGCATTTACAACATACCACCCAATTTCTGTGAATTTACATTTCTAAACTAAACTTTATTTTTTTACATAATTAGACCACCCAAAACCTTTCAAATCACATAAAAAATACCGTCATTTTAACTTTTAAAAAGTGAAATACACCTTTTTCACGTATAGGTAAGGTTGCATGTATATAAAAGTTGAAGATTAGGTGTTAAATACATAGGAATTGAGTGGTATATGTAAGCAAACTTCCTTAAAATAAATATAGAAACAAATCACAAGCAATAGCATTGAGTAAATTTAACACTAGAACTTGAACTTTTCTATAACACATCGTAAGCTTCATATGAGAGTGCCTCACACCTATTCCAAGCCTAGCTTAAAACATTGATGAAAGATTAAAAGTGAAAAAGCAAATTAGAAGGCACATCAGAAGGTTTTATGATTAAATTTGCTATGTTCCAAGTTTATATTATCCAATCAATCAAAATTATCCAAATTTAGCACAAAATATTTCAGAACCAAAGAGTTCATGTTTATCCTTGTTTAAACCAAGTATAATGCTTTCAATGCTGCTTTGTTTCTAGCATTTAGCCAGATGCTTTTGATTCTGTAAGCTCCAGGTTGCCCCAGGACAAAGAGATGAGAGCTGAAAATGTGATGAGCTAGAGAAGAAAATATAACCAGTAAATGTCAAGAATTAAATGCTGAAAACATAGTAATGAAATATGAAAAATGGACATCAAAACAGTATAACAATAATTAATGCAGGCAAGCAAAATCATAAAGATTATAAAGTCCCACTGAGAAGAGAACAACTGAAAACATGAGAAGACATGCCCTTTGACAAGCAGTAATTAAGCGAACTCAATATTGGTTCATTTGAAATTAATTATGTTTGATTGGCTCAAATTGCTTGTAAACCGTGTGTTCGTTTTTGGCTTGATTTACATATTCTTATTTATATTCGGTTTGAAATTGATATATTTAAATTAATTGAAAAAATAGATGTAGTGTGTTGGATTCAAACCTGTAGCAACTCTGTGCAATAGAAGATACATAACCACATAACCGCACGAGTTAGTATGATTTAAACTTAGATATAAATATATATAATATATTATAATATAAATAATATAAATAATATATATATAATTTCTTTATTTAGAGCTAAAATGATCAAGCAAAGGATTGTTCGTGTGTGGCTCATTAATAGTTTGAGCTTAAAAAATTTGTTCGTATCTGACTTGTTAAATTAAGGAATGATGCGAACACGAGCCACTTAAAAAGCTAAACACTAACTTTTCACAAACAGCTAAACAAAGAACGAGCTTTCCTACTTTCCTACTAGGGGTACTAAATTGGCACTTATATAGAATCTGGGATTAAATAAAGACACTTTTCTCATTTTTTCCGCATATTTTGTACGCTCAAGGAATGGACTGTTTTCGAAGGATGCTCATGTAATTGTTCAGAAATGGAAATAGAGATTAACAATGCATTCCTTCCAACTGAAGGTGTTAAGGGGCTGTTTGTTCTGATGTTATCTGAGTGTAAACTAAAAGAACTATTGGTGTTTAGTTGCGAATAATATAATTGCAAAAATAATTTTGAGGCATTTTCATACATACCACACAATTCTTATATATTTACATACCTAACACTAAAATATTTGATATCACATCAAAAAAAATATCACCATCACTAATTTTTTAAAAGTGAAATGCACCTTTCTATGCATATGCTCTTAATAACAAGGTTTTATAAATGTAAATATCAAACTTTAGACCATCTTTATGTAAATACATAAGAATTGTGTGGTGTGTGTGTAAATTTTCCAACAATTCTTTAAACAATTTAGAATACTCTGCCTAGTTCATTCTCAGGTTATTTTGAACTTGCCCAAGTCGTGCGAATTTAGAATAAGCAAACCTTGCGGCCTCCTGTAAATTCCCATAGACTTTTGAGACCTCGCACAAGCCCTCGTTATTTCGCTGACACACATACCGATCAATTCCTATGCATTTGATATGAACAATTTGGCTGGTAGAAATATAAAAAATCAAATTTTAGATGTTAGATACGTAAAACATAGGGACTGAGTGGTATGTAAATGCCCCTAGATATATTACTATGACCATTAAGAGGTATATTATGTCATGGCTCTATCCGATGCAACCGGTATTGTATAGTGATCGCAACATTTAGGGGTGCAACAAATGAGGGGAGCATCGATTTGAATATTCAATACACCACAAATATGTAGCTTCCATAATACCATCCCTCTCAGAATTCATGATCAAATGTCATTTAATATTAAGCGTGATGTTTTGTGAATGTATTGTGTCATGTAGGGGTGCAAAAGAGTTGAATCGAGCTCGAGCCATGCCAAGCTTGAGCTTGGCGCGTGTGGCAAATTGTGAGCTTGAGCTTGAATGACGAGCTCGAGCTCGGCTTATACTGGTAGTAGTCGGCTTGCGTGTTCGAAATAAAAATTCAATTTTTGCGGGAGCTCACTGGAGAAGATATTGGTCGTCGGAGTCTGAGGAGGCAGCTGGAGCTAACCGGAAAATGCTTTGAAAAATATTTTTAAAAAAATGCATCGAAATGACTAATGGCAGCTGGAGCCGGGAAGAGCTCGAGCTCGAGCTCACTCAATAAACAAGCTCAGCTTGAGCTTGACCCCTAATGTGATGTATACAACAACATTGAACTATTCCATCATATGAGCCTACACGTGTGAGGCATGCAAAAAATCTTGTTGGATTATATCTATTAACTATATAGATATTGTACGATTACATGGGGAGAGCATTATGGAGCATATAGGAGCTCAAGGAGATAATAAGCTCTATGAATATAGCATGGCTGTTATGAATGGAATAGATTATATAAAACAAACGTCTGAGATCATGTATTATGATTATTAAATATCTTATAAACATCATACCCATCATTTCACATAAGTATAATGAAAACATGACTGACTCAAAAAAATATTTGCAACACATTAATACCCCACCAAATCTCGATGAAATTGCATTGGAATGTAAATAGATGATATATCAAAATTTAAACCATGAAATTCATTATAAAACCATTACATGAGCTATAAAACCATCCGAAGCAATGGATTATACATTCAAGCTTTCTAGTATATATTTTCTTTCTTTTGATTCTCTCTCCCTCTCTTTTGCTCCAAACAAGCCATGAAAATGAAGGATACCAACATGACCAATATATTATAAAGTTGTTTTTATGTGGCTTGTTAAATAATTATCTATTGGAATATTACTAACTTTGGTTGTTGCAATTTAATGTCGAGTTAGCTCAACGGAACAATAAATTATAAAGATGTTTTTATTTGGTTTGTTAAATAATTGTCTATTGGAATATTACTAACTTTTGGTTGTTGCAATTTAATGTCGAGTTAGCTCAACTTGATGTACAAATCAGATGTAGAAGGGATTTAAAGCTTCCGGACACAGGAATCAAGTTTGCAAATTAAACAAGTTGCTTTATTTAAAGCAATCACCATGACTATATTACACACAATATAGTCGTTATATTGCATTTTAAAGTTAGTTATTTAGTCCCGAAATATTCTTTTGTCCAATACTAGTAAAAAAATGAATAATTGGTGATTTTGCACACCCCAAAAATTAAAGTTGGTTCTGTTCTTGGTTGAATGTCATACGAAAGTATCTCATCAAGCTTATAATGGCTTTTGTATACGTGTGTATATCTTGAGAGAAAACATAGAGTATTTTTTTTTGTTTTCTTTCAAAATTTGTAATCTGCCATGAATATAGACACAATGTTTAGATCCACATTGTACCCTTCATATTTCTTTGTGCATGACACGTGTTCTACGACAAATGACAAGTTGATCTGATGCATATGATCATCATGCATGCCATTTTGTGCAAACCACACCACATTCCCTTACATTTATAAACCTATTTTTAATGCACAAGTTGATCTATAAAGCATTTTCCTTTTGGTAAGCCCCCATACAGCAATACCAAAAGGAGACACATTCCTTTCAATGCTCCCACATGTCCCCAACTCATGCAAGGAGTTCCCTTTCCTTTCAAGTTAAGGTTGGCATGGGCCTCTAGCATGGAAAAACTAGGGAGACAATATCCTAGGTTTTATCCCAATCATAGCAAACTATGGCTCATGTATATAGTTTGAGAGTTAATTTCATAATGGGTCTTCTTTGTAAATTATTTTTAGGGGCTTTTACATACATACCACACTATTATTATTTTATTTTTACATATATATAATATTTGAATTTTCATATTTACGTACGTACTACTCAATCTTTGGAATAATATAAAAATATATTATTATTATTAACTTTGTAAAAGTGGAGAACATTTCATGTCTCATCACTCATATTTTTTATGTTTTACATGTTCATGATCTAACTTCACATTAAGAATAAGAAAAATTTACATACATACCACACATTTCTCATGTATTGTAACATATCTAACACATAAAATTTGATATTTACCTTTATAACCCTATGGTTTGAGAATATGTAAAAATGAGGTCATGATGTTTAGGGGCATCTATATACATATCTAACAATTAAATTTTTATTTAAAAAAAGTAAAATACATCTTTTCATGCATTGTAGGGTAAGGAATGCCACAAATTGAAGTTTAGGGGTTCATATGCAAATACATAAGAATCGAGTGGTCTCTATGTAAATATTCCTTAAAAAAAGAGATTTTACATGCATTGCACTTAAAACATATTTTCTTACGTGTGTCGCACTAAACTCTTTTATAGTTCTATTTACAGAATAACCTAATAAATGGGCACATAAAGTTCACTTTCCCTTCCAGCGAGCTCCGTCGAGATTGCTCAAAACTATTGACGTAGGGATCCAGATCGAAACCACCAAACCAAACCAAACCAAACCAGAGAGAGCGAAAAGCACAAGAAAGAGAGAAAAGATGGCGATGGCTTTCAAAATGGTAATTGATTAAGCTTCTCATGAAGCGATTCTCTGATCTTCGATCTTAATTAATCAGAGTGATTTATTGCAGGCGACGGAAGGCATGAAGGTGAGGGAAGAATGCCGGGAGTGTTTCATGGAGATGAAATGGAAGAGAGTTCATCGATACATAGTGTTCAAGATCGATGAGGGCTCGAGGGCCGTGATGGTCGATAAGCTAGGCGGCGCCGCCGAGGGATATGCAGATCTCGCCGCCTCACTCCCCCACGACGATTGCCGATACGCGGTCTTCGATTTCGATTTCGTCTCCATCGATAATTGTCAAAAGAGCAGGATCTTCTTCATTACCTGGTTTTCTCTCTTACAACTCTTTCGTTCTCGAGAAATATTTGCATACGAAAAGCGTGCTCAGAGTTACATACATTTTAGTTTATTCGGAAAGTATAACTTAAGTTGTAATCTCTTGTGATTTTTTCTGTAACCTAAATGTAACCTAACCATACCCTCCGAATAAACTACAGTGTACACAACTCCACGTAAGTTTCCGTACGCAAATATTTTTTTATTCTCTGTTCTAGATTTTTTCTGTAACCTAAATGTAACCTAGCCGTAACCTCCGAATAAACTACAGTGTACACACAACTCCACGAAAGTTTTCCGTACGCAAATATTTTTTTATTCTCTGTTCTATTTTTATTTTTTATTTTTTTTCAATTTCTTCATACATAAGTAAATATAAAATTCTAGGTCATAGATGTGTAAATACATAAACAATTAGTGGTCTATATGTAATGCCAAAGTTGAAACAGATTTTACACATGATAGAAATTGATATCATGTCATCTACTTGTCCTGTAATTTAGGCTAAATTACTAACCATAATTAGGTTGATTTTAATTACACTACTTCTATATTAAATGGCCTATTTTATGAATTAATTATTTGAGGCATTTAATATATAGCACCCTACTCTTACATATTTAGGTATCTAACACCTAAACTTCTATTTTTACATATATATA